GTGAGAGCTGTGAGATGACGCACAAAAAGCTCTCAGCATATACCAGGCTCTAGAATGTGTGCAATGGCAGTTAACTCTGCAGCACCGGCTGGTGCAAACAAGGGGAGGAGAGATGGTGCGGTGGTAAAGAATCCGCCTGCCAATACACGAGACATAAGAGACCTGGGTTTAATTCCTGGATTGGGAAAATCCCCTGGAGTAGGAGATGACAACCCACTCCAGCATTCTTGCCTGCAAAATTCCATGAACAGAGGAGCCTGGTGGGTTACACAGTCCATGGAGTCAGACATGACTCAGTACACACATACACAGGCAAGAGTTGAAAGAAAGGGGTAGAAGGAAAGAGTGCTTGTGTGAGAATTTTCAAAGTATAATCACAGTAGGTGGGGAAATCTCAAAAGGCACTGCAGCAGGAGATGTGTTTACGTTCGTGTTAAAGCATCCTCTCCCAGCTTGGGGATGAAGAGGCAGCGTCCTCAGTGGGCGTCAGGTGGCGCCACAAGCCTACAAACCAGAGTCCAGCCTTGTGTGGGAAAGCAGATGAGAAGGCATGAAAAAGTGAAATCTCAGAGCCCTTGTCAATCTGACACAGCTGCCACTTTGACAGTGGCAGTGTCTTAAGTCAGGGGTTCCCATTTCAATAAACCCATAAAATTCAACATACAGACCATTCCACTCATCTGGATTCTTCTTAATTACCAAGGGACATGTTGAAACATGCATACTGTTTGTATATTACTTAATATAAAAATAATATCATAACCAGCATCCCAAAGTAGGACAAGCTGTTTCTATAGGCAAATACGGCAGTGAAACAACAGCTCTGGTGGAGAAAAGAAAAGAGGAAAATGTGATGAACATCCGTGACAACTGTGGTGGAGATGAGTGACCCAATATCACCCAGCCCTCTGAGATTTCTCTGGTGGTCCACCAGTTAAGAATCTGCTTTCCAATACAGAGGGCACGGGTTTGATCCCTGGTCAGGGAACTAAGATCCCATATGCCGTGTGGTACGGCCGAAAAAAAAAAAAAAGAAGAGTACAATTCCCAGTTCACTTTGAGCTGGTGTGGACGCATAGCTAAGCCCTGACTGTAGAACATGAATGGAAAGGGAAGGTTGTAGGAAATTCCCTTAAGAGACAGATGGCAGGCATCTTCCTCCATTCTCTGCCTACAACACGGTTTCGATGCCAGCCATTCCACCTTATACCTGAAGGCAGGAGTTTCACCCTAGAGATAATCCCAGAAGACTGTGAGGGCTCTTTAGGAGCCCTGAATTGCCTACCTCTGGCCTTTTATGTGAGAATAATAAATAATGAGTAAGCCATTGTTATTTTGGGTCTTTAGTTCTCACAGCCAAACATCATCCAACTGACATTTCACATAAGAGCCCTGGCTTTGTTTTTCATTTTCTTTTTTGGCCACACCACACAGCATGTGGGATCTCAGTTCCTGACAAGGGACCAAACCTGTGCCTCTTGCCTCTTGCATTGGAAGCACAGAGTCTTAACCACTGGACCACCAGGGATGTCCCTCTGGCTTTGTTTTTAAAGATTAACTTTTGTATTTTAAAAATATTTGGATAAAGAAAATGGAAGATAAGAGACTTCCCTGGTGCTCCAGTGGCTAAGACTCTGTGCTCCCAATGCAGAGGTCCCCGGGTTCGATCCCTGGTCAAGGAACTATATCCCACATGCAGAAACTAAAGATCCTGCGTGGTGCAACTAAGACCTGATACAACCAAAAAAAGAAAGAGAAGTAGAGAAGATGGTGACAGAGATGTAAAGACAACTCTCAAACTTATAAGGCTGAGGAGCATCATAAGGAGAAGAGGGAAATGTCAACAATAATACATTAAAAATGTTGCTAATTGGAGTCTTCTTTCAGTGCAGTCTGAGAAGAGGGAAAGTCCGGAGTGGGAAGATTAAAGACCTACAAAGCTCCTGCTGTTGAGACAAGCTGGGCTCTCCCACTAACTCTGAATTACTCACCAAACTAGTAACCAGTGGGGTGTCATCAAGGTCACTGGTTTCTGAGATGAGAAAGTTGACAAGTAGAGGTGAAGTTTAAGGTATTAATCATTCAATATTGAGTCACCATGGACAGACACTTTTCCAACAAGTAGTTTACTTTTATATTTACTGAACTTTCTGGGGTGGTAGTAAGATGTGAGATAATACATCATAATTATGTGTTTCACGAGCATGTGTGCTCAATCATGTCTGACTCTCTGTGACCCCATGGACTGTAGCCTGCCAGGCTCCTCTGTCCATGGGATTCTCCAGGCAAGAATCCTGGAGTGGGTTGCCATTTCCTCCTCCAGGGGATCTTCCTGACCCAGGGATTGCACCCAGTTCTGCATTGGTGGGCAGATTCTTTATCACTGCAACACCTGGGAAGCCCACTTACATATTTAGTAGTAGTCTTTTCCTCTGGGAAAAGGAATGCTTTGATAGTAAAGACCAGTGGCCCATTAAATGGGAAAATCACAGATGGGTTCCTCCCACAACAACAAATGAGGCCCAACAGTAAACAAGGCGCTTAACCGTGTCTCTAGTCTAGAGATATCCTTTGCTTGACATTTGGTGTTAGCAATATATAGACAACTATAGCTGTTTGTGCTCTTTTTTATTTGCTTTTGAACTTCTATCTTTGGGTACTTATAATTGATTTAAAAATAAAGTTCTGTGGCTGAGATTTTTTTTAATTTCTTAAATAGAAGTCCTTTGAACTGCCTTGGATCCAAAACAATCTGCATCCTGTCCTGCTTTTCCTGGGTACTCCAGCAAGAATATCTACATTGGAGTCCTCAAGACCACTCTCAGATTCGATGATTTGCTAGCAGGACTCACCAAACTCAGGAAGCAGGTTCATTAAAGTGAAAGGATGCAGATTAAAATTAGCAAGGAGACAGGCTCCCCTGGTGGTCCGGAGGTTAAGACTGCATTTTCAACTGCAAGTGGCAAAAAGTTCTATCCCTGGTCAGGAAGTTCCACATGCCATGAGGGAAAGAAAGAAAAGAAAGAAAAGAAAAATCAAAAATCAAATCAAAGAAAAAAAAATTAGCAAAGAGAAAAGGTGCATGGGGTAGAGTTCAGGAGAGACCAGACACAAACTTCTGGTTCTCCCTCTCCCGGGGAATCAAACAGACAGTGCATAATTCTCCCAGCAACAATGTACGACAACACATACATGGCGCTGCCAACCAAGGAAGCTCAAGCCTTGCAGTTCAAGATTTCTGCCGGGGGTCAGTCATGGAAGCATGGAATGCCAGTGTGACTGACCTTAGCTATTCAGTCTTTGGCCCAGATGCAGTGTGGCCCAAGCCCCTAGGCATACAAAAACAGGTGTTCACCATGCATCACATTGTTAACATAAACTATCTGGTATGGCCCAAGGCCTCAGATATACAAATTCTCTTAGCACGCAAGATATCCCAAGGGCTCAAAGGTTATCCCCCAGGATCTGGTTAAGGGCCAGCCTTGGAAATCTTGGGAATGGGCAGAGTTTGGCAGCCCAGACCACCGAACTCTCTCTATTGTTATAACAAAGCCATAAAAAGTAATAATAATAACCCCAACACCTTTATGATAAAGAAACATTATGTGAGCTAGCTTCTGAAGGCCTTAGGAAGAGTCCAACCAAACCTTTTTTTTTTTTTTTTAAGATTTTTGATGTGGACTATTTATAAAGTCTTTATTGAATCTGTTACAATGTTGCTTCTTTTGATGTTTTGGTTTTTAAGCTGAGAGACATTGTAGGATCTTAACTCCCAGACCAGGGATTGAACCCACACCCCCTGCATTGGAAGGCAAAGTCTTAACCACCAGACTGCCAAGGGAAGTCTCAAAGCATGCGTCTAACAGTGATGCGTCAAGCATGGTGGCACTTAGTAAATGAGTCTGTGGACACAGGGAGGGCCATTACTGGTGCCTCAGAAGATGGGAGGTCTGTGTCTTAGAGCCACTCAGTTTTTCCAACCGTGGCCCTGTGACTAAGCCCATTCCTACAGCTCTTTCCCTCAGCTAGCTTCCTCCCAAATGTTTCCTTCATTTTTCCTTCCATCCCTTCCTCTCTGCTCCAGCTGTTCCAAGACCCCCTAAAATCCAAATTTCCATTCAGTGCCCTCCAAGCAAGCCATCCAAGCTCTAGGGCTTCCCTGAAGGGCCAGGACTAGACTGAGCCAAGAGAGGCACAAGGTCCTGCAAGAGATCAAATGCCTCCAGGAATTCCGTACCTCAGACACTCACTCTCGTCCTGGCCTCACATTCTGTCTTGAAAGAGTAACTACTCGGGAACCTGTATCCCCAGTCTTGCGTGTGTTGAGAGGAAATGGGCAAATTTGAGAAGAAACACAGAAACTGGGTTCTGGTAAACAATCGAGCATTAATTCTCACAAGCATGAATGCATCTTCACATCCTCCTCTTTAATATACACCACCCCAGTGGCTAATTCAATCAACATTAAGTTTCAGAAAATAACTTTATTAGTCAGCATCCACTTCTCTCATTTTTACCAGGGACAATCCACCCTTTAACCCTTTCAAAGGTATGAGGGCTCTTATATCACAGCACCCTGGAATCTTTCTTCCCAATATAAACTACTTCTTGGTGGTGGAAAGCTTGCCAGGACCCTTCAGTTCAAGGTCTTCTTGCATTTCCCTAATTCCAGTAGAAAATTACTACAAGAGCTAACAGGAGCTCTGACCCTGACTGACAAGGACATTTGAACTACTTACATGGCACGACAAGTCAGAAAGCTTCCATTAATTTCCAAGGATTATGTCCAATGCTTTTCCAACTGGCGTGGTACTTCTGATGATTTAGAAAGAGGAAATGTAAACAAACTTTCTTCCACGTTTACCATTTGATCAAGGACTCACGTAAGAAATGTATGAACCGAGGCAGTGCATACAGGGATCTGCCAGCAGCTTCGCATCACAAAATAAATACACAGAAACATTCCAATTGCTCAGGTTTTTATTGTCTCTTTTTTCAGAAGCAGATTCTCAGGCACAGGTCTAGTGAGGGTATCACCACATTCATTACATTCATAAGATTCTTCCCCGAAATGAAGTCTTTGATGTTGTTGTAAAGCTTCACCTAGGTCAGCGAGCATGTCCACGGTTTTGTTCTTTTTTTTTTTTCATGTCCGCATTTATCACAGCCAGTTTCTCTCCTGTATGAATTCTCTGGGTTTCAACCATCAGTATAACTGAAGACCTTCCAACACTTGGTGACGTTATTCACAGGGTTTCTCTCCAGAATGAATTGTTCAATGTTCAAGAGCTGATTAAAAGTTTTACAGCATTCAATAAATTATAGGGTTTCTCTCATGAGTCGACTCAGTGATATAGAATGAGATGTGGACTCTGAGGAAAGGTTTTCCTGCAGTCATTATATTTAAATGGTTTCTCTTCTAACATGAAGTCTCTGAACAGTTAAGGCTGAATTATATCTAAATGTTTCCCCACACTCATTACATTCATAAGATTTTTTCCAGTATGAATTCACCAATGTTCAATGAGACCTAAGCTGTAGCTGAGGGCTCTTCCACACTCAACATACTCACAGGGGTTTGTCTCAAATGAATTTTCTGATGTTGAACAAGGTATGAACTCTTCTAGAAACTTTTCTCACACTCATTACATTCCTATGGCAATTTTCCACTGTGAATTCTCTGATGTTCAGCGAGTCAAGATTACCACCTAAAAAAGTTTCCCCACATTCCTTACATTCATTGGGTTTTTTCCACTATGATTCAACAACACCTAACAAATTCCAATTTCCCTTTGAAAACTCTCATAAAATTCATTGTTTATGATTTTTCTCCAGTATGAATTATCCTATGTGGAATATGATATACATTTTTTGGCCCCACATGTCACATTTTCACCTAGCTCACTGGTAAAAAATTTTTTAAAAAATTGATAAAACTTTGTTGTTGGGGGGTGGGGGGGACATGAGCCCTTGTTCATTACTTGAGGAATGCAAATTGACACAAATTTCAGGAACAAAATTTACCAATCAAAAAACGTGTCTACTTTTGACAGAGAAATTCTACTTCTAAGAACATGTTTTACAGATAGACTTCATTGTGTGTAAAATCACAATTGTACAAGGTTATTTAGTGCAAAATTGTTCATAATAGCAAATGGTTTGAAACAGTCTAAATGGATCAAAGGGAAGTGGTTAGCTAAATTATGATACAAGCATAAAATGAGACACTTTGTAGCCATGACTAAGAAAGAGGAAGCTCTGTGTAAACCAATATGGAACTACCTTAAAAATGAAAATAAGGTTCAGAATAGTCTTTACTGAGCATTATCAATTGTGAACTGAATATAACCAAAAACACACAAACAAAAACAAAGTGGGGTGGGTGGGAGGGAGGTACAAGAGCGAGGGGACATATGCTTATTTATGGCTGATTCACACTGTTATAGGGCAGAAACCAACACAACACTGTAAAGCAATTATCCTCCAATTAAAAATAAATTTTTAAAAAACAGAGGGAGGAAAATACCACAGATGTGACTGTATATGCACAGCCTATCTCTAACAGGATTGAGATCCTTATTCTAGGGAGAAAAGCTGGGTGCTGGTACCATTTAGGTTCGTTTTCTGCACCACAGAAAATTATTGCTCATCTTAAAAATTAAATTGAAAAACCTGTGACATCTAGAAAAGAGACAAATGCAGAGGTGTGAATTCAGGCAGGTGAGGTTATGACAGAGCAAGGAAGTTAAGGGAGTGCATTATTTAAAACTGTAATCTGTTGCCCTTTCTGGTCCCACAGCTACAGGGCTTGGAAACTGACATTCTAAGGTAAAAAGCTAAACAAGCTGAAAAATCAAAAACTTCTGAGATCCATAAAAGAAGTAAGGTCATAGGGCAAAAAACTACCCCCCAAAGTTGGAGAAACAGGTAACTGCAGAGAATCACATCACACTGGAGCAGAAACCTCCACTGGAACCAGTGTTGGGCTTGGGACACTGGAACTGAAACTTGGAGAATTACTGGAAACAATTCCGAGAGTGTGGACAAGTCTTAGAGTTAAATCTTCAAAAGGACGTGGTTCCAAGGGTGGGAGGGGCATGCTTTTGTGAATTTTATCTTCAAGAACTCAATCAACTTCTTGCAGTAATACTGGAGAAAAATCTCCTTGTGCTTGTAGCTAGGGAAGAAGAAAAGGAACTATTTTGAAATACTGCAGAGCACTTGGTTCTTAACAAGGACTGCCCTCAGGAGAAACTAGCTAATCAGAACTTAACCTGCCAGGGTTTCATCAAGCCTAACAGACCTGCAGAAAGGGAAATACCCAACTTCAGCCTCCTATAACCATCTGTCCCACCCAAGTGGGTCAGAAAAAAGGTAGAGAGAAAAAAAAAAAAAAACCTGAGAAACACTTAAGAAATTCACAATGCAGAGGCACAGGCTCACTAAATGACTGAGACCTAATCACTGGCCTATAAAACACTCCCTGTCAGGAATCCCCTGGCGGTCCAGTGGTTAGACTCCCTGCTCTCACTGCTGAGGGCCCCAGTTTGATCCCAGGTCAGGGAACTAAGAGTCCCACATGCCTGTGGTCAAAAAACCAAAACATTTTTAAAATGGGAGCAATATTGTAACAAATTCAATGAAGATTTTTTTTTTAATGGTCCACATCAAGACAAAAATCTTAAAAAAAAAAGTTATGAAGCATACTAAGAGCATACGCAGCTTCAAGAGACAGAGCCAGCATCAGGACCAGACATGGAGGAATGTTGGAATTATCAGACAGGGAATTTAAAACAACTATGATTAAATGCTAAGGACTCTAATATAATCAGTAAAACAAATAGTGTGCAAGAAGAGATGGGCAATGTAAGCAAAAGAGATGTATATTCTGAGAAATAACCAAGAAGGAATACTAACGATCAAACACTCTAACAGAAATGAAGAATGCTTTTGATGGGCTTGTGAGCTGACAGGGCAGAGTTGAGGAAGAATCTCTGAGCTTGAAGGATATCTCAAGAGAAAACTCCAAATTAAAAATCAAAGAAGAAAAATAATAATAATAAAATAATAAAAATAAAAATCAAAGAAAACTAAAACTAAACAACAGAAACAAAATATCCAAGAACTATGGGACAACTACAAAAAGTGTGACAAGTGTAATGGGAATTTCCTCAAATTAATTAACATCAGACACAAAATGGCAGATCCAGAAAACCAAGAGGGAGCAAGCAGGATAAATGCCCCCTCCTCAAAAAAAAAAAAAAAAAAAAAAAAAACTATACCTAAGCATATCATTTTCAAACTACATAAAATCAAACATAAAGAAAAATTCTGAAAGAAGCCAGAGAGAAAACATACATCACTTACAGAGGAGCAAAGATAAAAATTACATACAACTTCTCAGAAACCAATCAATCAAGAGTAAAGTGAAATATTTAAAGTGTTGAGGAGGGCCTTCCCTGGTGGTCCAGAGGCTAAGGCTTCGCCTTCCAACGCAGGAGGTGCTGGTTCCATCTCTAGTCAGGAAGCTAGGATCCCACATGCCTCACAGCCAAAAAAACAAAGTATAAAACAGAAGCAATATTGTAACAAATTTAATAAAGACTTTTTTTAAAAAAGGCTTCAGAGTAGCAACAATCATATAAAAAGAGGGGAGACTAAACAGTTAGCTTAGGAGACACCTCACCAAAGAAGATACACAAATGACAAACATATGAAAAGATGCTCCACATCATATGTCATCAGAGAAATGCAAATTAAAGCAACAATGAGACACCATTAAAACACCTATTAGAGGAACCTTAACTGGTGGTCCAGAGGCTGACTCCATGTTCCCAATGCAGGGGGCCTGAGTTCAATCCCTGGTGAGGGAACTAGATCCCGAAAGCTGCAACTAAGACCTGGAGCAGCCAAATATATAAATATTGAATTAAAAAAAAACACACCTATTAGAATACCTAAAATCCAGAACACTGACAACACCAAATGCTGGCAGGAACATGGAGCAAAAGGAACTCTCATTCATTGCTGATAGGAATGCAAAATGGTACAGTCACTTTGAAAGACAGTTGGCAGTTTCTTACAACGCTAACCCTACACTTACCATATGATCTATCAATCACGTTCTCAGTATTTACCCAAAGGAGTTGAAAACTTACATCCACGCAAAAACCTGCAGGTAGATGCTGAAAATAATTTTATCAACAATTACCAAAACTTGGAAGCAACTAAGATGTGCTTGAGTAGATGAATGGATTAACTGTGGCTCATCCGGAAGATGGAGGATTATTTATTGCCAGGAAGAAATGAGCTACCAAGCCATGAAAAGACATTAATAAAACTGAAATATATATTATTTAGTGAAAGAAGTCAACTTGAAAAAGTCACATACAGTATGATTCCAACTCTATGACATGCTGGGAAAGGCAAAACTATGGAGGCAGTAAAAAGATCAGCCAGGGGCTGGGAGGAAGGTGGGATGAACAGGAAGAGCACAGAGGATTTTTTGAGCAAAGAGTGTGGCTGAACCACACTGACTCCATACTGTCAGTTCCCTCTTAGGCTTGCAGTTCTCCCCTCTCATTACTGAACTTAAGCCTGTTTACAAAGAATGTGCCCAAGCCAGGGAAGTTCTCTGTCAACTTTTACCCTTACCTTCATCTGATATGAAAACTGAAAGAATGCCTCTTGCTGATGCAGATTATGATACCCCCCAAGGGTAGGAAAAAACCAAGGTTCCAGTCTGTGCAGCCCTGCTTCTCACAGGCTAGTCAGATTCTATTTTTTTTTTTTTTTCAGATTCTATTTTTAGCTTTGGCCCCTTTCCATCCCTCTGTACCTTCTGGATTGTCCAGCTGCTTATATGTAAATTCCCCACAAGAAACTTTGTAATTGTTGTTTAGGAAGTTGCCCCTTCATTTTTCTAACTCAAAGTTCCTTCTCAGTTCAGAGGATATTATTCAATATCTTCCTTTTCTTGGAATCAGCTTTATATGACACTGTGGTGGATACATGTCATCATATACTTGTCCAAACATACAGAATACACAGCACCAAGAGTGAACCCTAATGTTAACTATGGACTTTGGATGCTGAAGATGTGTCAGTGTAGGTTCATCAATTGTAACAAACGTACCAAGCTGATTGGGGGCAGGGGCAGGGGGAGTGCTGCTAATGTGAGAGGCTGAGCACACCAAAAGCGAACCCTGATGTAAACTATGGAGTTTGAATAATGTTGATGATGTGTTAATGTAAGTTCATCAATTGTTAACAAATGTACCAAGTTGACCAGGATGGGGGGATGTTGATAATGGAGGCTGCCCATATGTGGAGACAGGAGGTCTATGGGAAATCTCTGCATTATCTTCTCAATTTTGCTGTGAACCTACAACTGCTCTAAAAAGCAGGGGTGGGAGGAAGACTCAAGAAGGAGGGGATATATATAATATATATATATATAAAATTATGATGATTCCCAGTGTTGTACAGCAGAAACAATACGACATTGTAAAGCAATTATCTTCCAGTTAAAAATTTTAAAATACAAAAAAATGCTCTAAAATCTTTAAATTGTGATCTTTCCCATAATTCCCTCTTATTCTCTTTATTTTTCTCCATAGAATCTGTCACCATCTAACATACTATGTATTTCACTTATTTGCTTTGTTTATTGCTTTTTCCTTTCATGAGAATCTTCACTGAGGGAAATAATTTTTTTTTCTTACTGCTAAGTATTAGTATTTAGAACCTAGGGAAGCACCTGGCACACAGCAAGTGTTCCATAAATAATTGTAGACTAAAAGTACAGTTAGGACATACCTAATATGCTTCCTCTTCATCTTCTATAGATCTTTTCTCCAACTCACAACGTAGACCCACAAATCCAGGCAAAGTGCTCCCCAGGTAATTGTGCAGGTCCCCAAAGGAGGTCTTATGTGTACCAATGAGCAAGAATGGTGAGTCACAGACTGACACCAGACATTCCATGCACTTTTCCTGCTCAGGACTCCTTCTGCTGAGTATCAACCTGTCCTGGCTCCTAGGGAAAAAAACAGTGTCAGCCATTATTCCTCTGTTAAATGTCCCAAACCTTTGAAAGCTGTATAAAAACTGCTACAGAGTTATAAAATATTAATGCTACTAGAGATCTTTAAAATCAACTACTCCTGGGACTTTCCTGGTGGTTCAGTGGATAAGAATCCGCCTGCCAATGCAGGTGACATGAGTTCAATCTCTGGTGCAGGAAGACCCCACCTGTCACAGAGGAACTAAGCCCATGTACCGTGACTACTGAGCCAGCACTCTACAGCCCTTGAGCTGCTACTGAAACTCCTGCACCTAGAGCTTCTGCTCCACAACCAGAAGCCACCCCAGTGAGCAGCCCGTGCACCACAATGAAGAGAGGCCACTGCTTGCCACAACTAGAAAAAGCCTGTGTGCAGCAGCAAAGACCCTGTGTAGCCAAAAATAAAACAATTTTTAATAAAATTTTTTTTAAAATTTAAAAAAATAAATAAAATAAAATAAAATTAACTAGTCCAAGCCTCTCTTCTCATCCTTGCACACAATGAGACATAAAAAGCAGGAGTTTTGCTCATAGCTCAGTTTGGTATGCAAGTCAAGCCTATAACCAAGAGCCAGGACTAGACTCCTGAGGGTCCCAAGACTCAACAGTTCGCTTAAATTTATCCATAGTAGTTCTGTTGTACTTTTTTGCTTGGTTCATAGGTTGTTACTTTTTCTTCAGTTTTAATTTTTGGCTGGGTTGCGTGGCATGTGGGATATTTGTTCCCTGACCAGGGATGGCCCCCTGCATTGGAAGCACAGAGTCTTGACCACTGGACCCCCAGGGAAGACCCTATCTTTAATTTTCAAAGCTTGGTTTTCTGCTGTACTAATGGGAGGATAAATCAGCATCGTCATTTGGGAAAGAAACAAGAGCCTTAAATGTGTCCATACACTTTCATGCAATAATTGTATTTCTGGGAATTTATTCAGGAAAAAAAAAAAGGCCAAAAATTGAAAACTTCTGCAATGGGTCCTTACTGTTTTTACCTACCCAGTGTTTCTTTTCCTTCTGTTGGTAACTGGATCCTTCTTTCATCTACCAGTTTATGCCAGCAGATCTTGAGACTTTCCCCAAATACTTACAACTAACAATACTTAAAATATGCTTACTTTTCATAACTGACAAACAGTATACCTCTGATGTTTTCACTTGTCTTTCTTTGGTATCTAGTCAGGGAGAGTACTTTTTCCATATGCTTACTGGCCACTTGTATCTCCCATTTATTTATTGAATAATCCTTCCATCTGCCCCTTCCCATCATTTTGTACTATGACTTTTGTTGTTCTCACACTACTAGGGGTGTCTCTGAGGTATGTCTCTTTTCTTATTAACCTCGCTGTGCTCGCAGGCGTGGCATCCTGAGCTGAGCCTGGGTGAAGACGAGTATTTCCACAAATAGGAATGGGGCGAGGACGGCTCATCCAGTCTGTAGGAACCGGGTGGACGGGCTGTGTTGACAAAGGGGCACATACTGTATGACAACACAGTGCTTCTCAAACCTTTCAATTCTTAATTTTACTACTCAGGAAATCTAAATTGTGGGGCCCAACATATATTTTAAAACATTTTTCCAGTACAAATACTTGCTTTTTAATTGTGTCAATAAAGACATTTGGCAAGGGGAATACTGTCAATATCACTGTGTTTTTAAAAAGTAGGAAAAGGAGGAGGGAAGAAAATAATTTCAGAATGAAGGAAAGGCCTCCCTGATGAAGGTAACCTTCTCACACGTGTGCACACATACCATCCAGGGAACCCAGGGGTCAGAGCAAACCCCAGCATGCAGGATGTGTTTAGAAACTCCTGCAGTAAGAGGAGAAACAGACAAGTAATAGAGGAAAAATGGGGTGGATCAAGCCTTTTCCCCACGGGTTCCAAACGTGCCTCAGCAGGGAGAACAACAAGGCTAACCTCCAAATTTCCTCAGGCCTGTTTGTCTTCTTCAGTCAATACTCAGCTTTCCAACCCCAGACTGCTGCTTTTGGCGGTGCCCTGTCTCCGTGGTTACTGTCCTGCCCTCCCTCTCAGCCGCAGGGGAGCATTCAGTGCGTGATGGTGGTAAACTGCAGTGTTCTTTTGTTGTTATTCTTGTTAAAAATTTTTTATTTCATTTATGTTTTCATTTATCTAGGCCTAACTGTGTGCGATGCAGGGATCTTAGTTCCCCAATTGGGGATTGAACCCGTGCTCCCTGCAGTGGAAAGCACGGAGTCTTAACCACTGGATCACCAGGGAAGTCCGTGCAGTGTACTTTTAATAGAAATATAAAACCTTCTCAGGAAGCAGTTAAGTTTTCCAAGAGTCTCTTCCCCTTTCTCTTTCCTTTCCCCCTTGGCAACGCTGTAGAGAAGCGGGAACAGGCCCCCAGCCTTGAAGTTCCTCTGATTGTCCAGTTCTCCGTGGAAAATCTTATTATTTGTTTGTCAGAACAAAGACAAAATCAATGTCCTTAAAAGGAGACAGGCAACTGCAGAGGACGATGATGCTCACCCAGGCAGCCTCCTCCTTTCCCCACTCCGGCCAGAATGAAGCAGAGGACGGACGGACATGCTCAGGCTGTGCCTGGGAAGACCTCAAAGAAAGGAGTCTGTAGTCTCATCCCCTCCTTGGAAGAAAGCGGGGTTTGGAAAGACCCCCTTTCCTTCAGGACTTACCCCCAGGTACCAGACGCAGGGACTGTGAAAAGAAGCACCACCTTATGACCAACCCAGGCCTTACAAAAGGAAAAGATTCTGAAACAAGTCATTTGTGGTGGAGGGCAGCAAAACAGGCCGAGCACCAGCAGTGTACAGCTTCACTGTGCTTGACAGCAAGCAGAGAGACACGGTCAGAGCAACATGTGCTTCTCCCTTTCACTCCACTGGTTACCTCCTCTGACCCCTTCTCTCTGCAGCATCTCAACTTCCTCCATCTGATAGTCCAACCTCACCCAGTGGAATTAAAAAACCTATATACCAGATACCTCTGGCTTAGATAGAAGTGCTTGAGAAAGGCAAGTCCTGGGTAGTCATTAACCTTGGTTTTACAGAAAGATAAGAAAATAGGTGAGGAGGGACTTCCCTGGTGGTTCAGTGGCTAGGACTCTGTACTCAAAATACAGGGGGCCCCGGGTTCAACCCTGGTCAGGGAACTATTACAGATCCCACATCCTGTAACTACAAGTTTGCATGACACTACTAAAGTTTCCAGATGCCACAAAGAAGATCAAAGATCCTGCATGCTGCAACTAAGACCTGGTGTAAGTACATAAAATAAATATTTTTGAAATAGAAATAGGTGAGGAAATGTCTACATATTAGAGGCCACAAAATATAAGTTGAATCTTTATTTATTATTTATTCTGTATCCTGTCCTGCTAAAACTGGGATTCAAAATCTTTTCATTTTCTTTTTCTTTTTTTACCTTCTCATTTTATTCATTTTTTTTTTCAATTGAAGTATCGTTGATGTTGTGTTAATTACATTAATTTCAGGTGTCCAGCAAAGTGATTCAGTTACACACATATTTATATATGAAAGCCGAGTATACATATTCTTTTTCAGATTCTTTTCCCTTATAGGTTACTACAAAAGACTAAGGATAGTTCCCTGTGCTATACAGTAGGTCCTTCTTTTAGTTTTCCTAAAAGATCAAAGAGCTTTTTCCATCAATATTAGAAGGGCTGTTTTCATAATTCTAAGTATCATTTGCTGTAACCCAGAGCTTGTGACTGTTACAGGAATCTACGTTTGTTTGACTGTTTGGTATAGAAAACTGTCTTCATTTCACTTAAGTTGAGAAGTGTGTTAATCATCACAGGATGTTGACTTTACTCAGGGACCTGAGTGGGTACGTGTCATTATAAACCTTCTGTAACATGTCTGCTCTATTTCTACTTAACTTCACTAATAGAATAACCTCTGTGGGTTCTCAGAAACCCAGTTAAAGGCATTCCTTCTTGTAAAAACAAAACAAGTGCAAATTAACAAATAAATCTCTGAGATTAACTGGAAAACACAATGTAGAATCTTATTTTTCCAAGATAAACCTAAACCAAGGAATCCATGCAAATACCTAGGACAATGTAAAGCTCTCTGGACTTCCCTGGTGGCACAGTGGTTAAGGATCCACCTGCCAGTGCAAGACACATGGGTTCGACTCCTGGTCTGGGAAGATTCCACATGCTTCGGGGCAGCTAGGCCCTCGTGCCACAACTACTGAGCCCACGTGCTCTAGAGCCCAAGCCCTGCAACAAGAGAAGCCACCACAAGGGGAAGCCCTCGCTCACCGCAACCGGAGACAGCCCTCACGCAGCAACGAAGACCCAGCCCAGGCAAAAATTGATTAATTAATTTTAAAAATAAATAAAGCTCTCCAGGAGGGTTTTACATCTCACTAGTGGTTCGGCCATGTCAGACTTGGGTATAAGGGAAGAAGCCACTGAACCAGGGAGGGGAAAATTCCAATTACCCGTTGGTGTTTCAATACTAATGACAGTATGTCCTGCTCTGATATTTTGAAGGAAGAATGGACTAGCACTGGCCTTCCTTGGTGGCTCAGACGGTAAAGAATCTGCCTGCAATGCAGGAGACCCGTGTTCGATCACAAGGTCAGGAAGATCCCCCGGAGAAGGAAACGGCAACCCACTCCAGTATTCTTGCCTGGAGAATTCCATGGATAGAGGAGTCCGGCAGGCTATAGTCCATCAGGTTGCAAAGAGTTGAACATGACTGAGAGAGTAACGCACTCTGGACTAGCACTAGCCAGGCTAAGTGCTCACTGACTCAATACAGCCTTATGCAGTAGGTACTCCTATTCCCATTTACTGCTGGGGAAGCTGATGCACAGAGAGATTAGGTAACTTGCCCAGAGTCACACAGCTAATGAGTGGCTCAGAGTCCATGCATGGGCCACAACTCTTTACTGAATAAAAGGGAATTTTTCAGTCAACAAATATTTGAGCATCTGCCATAAATTAGGTAATAGAGAAGCTCCACAAATATGATCTTTGCTCTCAAGGAGGGAAAAATTAATGGGGGTAATTTAGTAGGAGAAACAAGATAAACTCATAAGAAAATGGTGAAGCAGAACAAAATGAAGTTTCCTAAGAGCAGGCATGCATGCTAAGTTGCTTCAGTAATGGCCAACTCTTTGTGACCCTATGGTCTGTAGCCTGCCAGACTCCTGTCCATGTGATTTCCCAGACAAGAATACTGGAGTGAGTTGCCATGCCCTTCTTCAGGGGATCTTCCCAATCCAGGGAAGGAACTCAGGTCTCCCACATCAGATTCTTTACCATCTGAGCAACTGGGGAAGCCCCTTCCCAAGAGAGGTATATACATTTTTCCATAGGGGTTCAGAGCAAACAGGCGACACTCTCACTTCACATCTGGATTGGAAGATGAAGGCTTCACTCAGGAGATGGGATCTGAGCTGGATCTAAAAGGATAGCATTATTCTTATATATACAGATATATACTTTATTTATTTTTGGCTGTGCTGGCTCACTGTTACTATGTGGGCTTTTCTCTAGGTGCGGTAAGTGGGGGCTCTATTCCAGTTGCAGTGCACGGGCATCTCACTGCAGTGGCTTCTCTTGTTGCAGAGCAGAGACTCTAAGGTGCGCGGGCTTCAGCAGTTGTGGCTCCCAGACCCTGGAGCGCAGGCTCAACAGCTGTAGTGCAGAGGGCTCAGCTGCTCCGAGGCACGTGGGATCTTCGCTCACCAGGGATCAAACCCATGTTTCCTGCACTGACAGGTACATGTTTTATCACTGAGCCACCAGGGAAACCTAAGGACAGTAGTATTCTGACCAGAAGATATCTGGGGAAGGACAGAAGCGGCCAAAAAAACAGGAATGACATTAGGGAGTCCCATCCGGCCAGTGGGTATCCTGGTGGACCACAGTGGATCAGATGGAACAAAGCATGAACCAGGACCAGATCCCCTGATCCCCCACCTTGGGATCCCTCCACTACTCTTCACTGCCTTGTTCGTCAGAACACTCACCTGGAGATGACTCATGCTTTTGTGCTTGACGAAACCTCCCTGGGACTCAAGGGCTTTAGTTTGGAAGGAAGTGACTCCTTCGTGGGCTGCTTCCTTATCTGGAGGTGAATTTCTAGCTCTGGCCTGGTGCCAAGAAGCTGAGAGTGATTTGATGCTAGTGGTTTACTGCTCTTATGATCTCTGCCACACCCACCTTGATATACCCCTTTTATAAGCCTCATGATGGCTTCTCTCTCCTGCTAGTGTTTATTAGAGGAGAATCTGGGTCTGACTCAAAGATAAAAGGTTTAGTCCATAATCACAGAGAGGCCAGAGTCAAGGGGAGATGACAAACACAAATTCATAACTGCATCATCACATGGTACTACAAGTAGTGATGGAGATGTGCCCAGGGTAAGCTGAAAAAGAAAAGGGTCCCCAGCCCAGACTGAGAGAATTGAGGTTTCCTGAGATGAGAGCAGTTAAGCTGAGATGCTCAGTGACAGGAGGCAGCCAATCAAAGGGGGCTGTGAGGTGTGGAGCACCTTCCAGGAAAAACACAGAGGCAGAAAACAGGGTGGTGTCTATAAAGAACCATAAACAATTTGATACGAGGCAGAGAGTGCCAGTAAAAAGGGAGGAGAGGAAGAAAGACATATTTAATATGCCTTTGTGCCATCCAAAATACATAGGAAAATGTATCCTAAGCAGTAGATCCTCTGTAAATCTTTTAAAAAATAAATACAATAAGATCATGGATTAGGATTTCCCTGGTAGCACAGTGGATAGGAACTGCCTGCCAACGCAGGGGACATGGATTCAATCCCTGATCGAGGAAGATCCCTCATACCGCAGGGCAACTAAGGCTGTGTGGCAGGACTACTGAGCCCAGCAGGTGCAACTACTGGAGCCCTTGTGCCCGGGGTCTGGGTACCACAAGAGAAGCCCGTGCACTGCATCAAAGAGCAGCCCCTGCTCACCGCATCTAGAGAAAGCCCATGCACAGCAATGCAGACCCAGCACAACCAAAAATAAATAAATAAAATTATTTTTATAAAAGAGAGAATTAGGATTTAAGGGGGGAAAAGAGAGAAATTAAAAAAAAAAAGATGATGGATTAAATGTTCTCCAAAGTTCATTAAAGTTCCCAAGTCAATGCTGCTATAAGTGGCAGTGCAAGGCCTCTCTGAGATTTGAGTTCCAAAGTTTCTGATGGAAGATACTGTCATTTATTCACTGCCTTGTTCAACTCTTTTGTGACCCTATGGACTATAGCCCGCCAGGCTCCTCTGTCCATGGGATTTCCCAGGCAAGAATACTGGAGTGGGTTGCCATTTCCTAATCCAGGAGATCTTCCCCACCCAAGTATCGAACCTGTGTTTCCTGCATTGCAGGCAGATTGTTCACCCTCTAAACCACCAGGGCTGCCAGAGCAGAAGGTAAAGAGCAGGAAGATGGCAGCATGCCCCTGTGATCACCATCTTAAGTGACACAGAGGTGGGATAAGTCATCAAAGTCATTACGAAGGGCTTACCCCATGGAAAATGGTTCACAAATTAAGGGCCTTCATAGTGCCTACCGCAAGGCCAGTCCTCACAAGGCTATGAGGCTTTTGGGTCCACCTTCCCTGTGTGTGTTCAGTTGCTCAGAGGATCTTCCCAACCAAAGGATCACACCCACGTCTCCTGCATTGGCAGTAGGATTCTTTATTAACTGTGCCACCTGGGCAACTGCTTTCTACAGACCCATAATATCAGAATGTTATATGCTGGTGAAATCTTCAACACAGGAAACCTAGCAATTGTCTAGGATTCCAGGTATCGGATACTTCTATCCATGGCTACTAAGGAAATTAGGGGAAGAGGAAAACCAGGAGATGGGAGAATCTTTACCACTTGCCCCTCCCACCTACCTGGACTGGATATTATGGAACCATCATCTTTGGTGGCTGCAGAATGAGAACAGTGTTAGGCCCCCTGAACTCACTCGCTCCCTATCCAGGAAGTGCAGTTCCAAAATAAAAATAAAAATCTTTCAAATTAGAGGGGAATAAAAAGATGTGCTATTCCCCAGGATGCCCTGTTTCTTGGGGAACTCAGTGGGTTCTACCGAGTTAGGCAGGGCTGTTTATGCACCATGAGGCCATCCACCAAGAACCACAGGGAGGACTCCCCTGGCAGCTCAGTGGATAAGAATCCACCTGCCAGTACAGGAGACACCAGGTTTGATCCCTGGTCCCAGAAGACCCCATATACTTCCAGACAACTAAGCCTGGGCGCCAAAACTACCAAAGTCGGAGCTCTAGAGCCCCTGCTCTGCAACTAATGTAGCCCAATTAATGTCTCTAGGCGACAACTAGAGAAAGCCATACACAGCAACAAAGACCCAATGCAACTGGAAAAAATTTGTTAATTAAAAAAAAAAGCAGCACATGGATTCTTCAGGTGAGGTGGGCATGTTGGATCCCACTGCCCCCCCTTGCTTATTCCCCCACCATTATCCCCTCCTCAGGGCTACCACATGCCTTGTCTCCCAATTTTGCTTTTTTGTGAAAATTCATGGTGAATCCCTAGGTTTGGGGCACTCCTCAAGGAGACTTCCGCTGACCTTGTTTCCATTTATGTGTCCAGCCTCTCTCGACGTGAAGACGTGACACCAGGGATGCTCGTCAGTCAAATCTGTCAAACTCTAACTTGCTTAATATTAATAAACAAGACACTGTAACGTACCTTCACTGATCAGGCTTGCCTGAAATTGTTTTTACCATAACGTGCATGTCCTCTAAGGTTCACGGATCCTAAACAAGAATAACTTTGAGTGAGATGTTGTTCACTCAGCAACGTGCAGTTTGAGCTCCAGCCAGTGAGACCGCGGGCCTTCCAACTGGGCATGCGCGAGTGTCCCTTGGTGCCGATTTGACGTCAGAGAGCCTCAGACATCAAACTCCACCCTCAGATCATGCTAATAGCGCCATTTTCTCAACATGAGGTCCCTCAAAGAAGTCTGTGGCTTAGTTGCACCTGCTCAAAAAGTCAGTCAGTCAGTTCAGTCGCTCAGTCGTGTCCAACTCTTTGCAACCCCGTGAATCGCAGCATGCCAGGCCTCCCTGTCCATCACAGACTCCCTGAGTTTACTCAAACTCATGTCCATCGAGTCGGTGATGCCATCCAGCCATCTCATCCTCTGTCATCCCCTTCTCCTCCTGCCCCCAACCCCTCCAAGCATCAGGGTCTTTTCCAATGAGTCAACTCTTCACATGAGATGGCCAAAGTATTGGAGTTTCAGCTTTAGCATCAGTTCTTCCAATGAACACCCAAGACTGACCTCCTTTATGATGGACTGGTTGGATCTCCTTGCTCAGAAAGTAGATAACCTTATATATATATATTTTTTTAATTTACTTCTTTGACTGTACAGGTCTGGGTCTTAGTGGCGGCATGAAGGATCTTTTGTTTTCCCACTGGGGCTTAGTTGCCTGGCCGCAGGTGGGATCCCATTTTCGTGACCAAGGATGGAACCCACATCCCCTGCATGGGAAGGTGGATTCTTATCCACTCCACCACCAGGGAAGTCTGATTTTTCTCATTTTTCCAACCATTTAAAAATGTAAAAACCATTCTTAGCTCTCAGGCTATACAGAAAGAGGTGGCAGGCCAGAGCAACTCCATGTGTGCATGCATGCAAAGTTGCTTCAGTCCTGTCCGACTCTACAACCCATGGACTGTAACCCACCAGGCTTCTCTGTCCACTGGATTCTCCAGGCAGGAATGCTGGAGTGGGTTCCTGTGCCCTCCTCCAGGACACCTTCTCAATCCAGGGATCTAACGCACATCTCTTACGTCTTCTGCATTGACAGGCGGGTTCTTTACCACAAGTGTCACCTGGGAAGCCCCAGAATGACCCCTGAGATGAACAAAAACAAGTGAAGTACTAAGTAGCCATTCAAAGAGAGAGGGGGACTACTGTGGGAAATAAAGTGAAATACACCAGAAAGTTTGAATGTCTCTGGGTAACATGATGGTAAAGTCAAAGAAGATTCTCTGAAGAGACACTTTCAGTTGAGGCCTAAGTGATACACAAAGATAGGAAAGGAAAGTGCTTAGACACTCAGAGGTAAAGTGAACAATGTGGGTGAGCCATGGTAAGGAGACTGGCTCTCAACCTAGGTGTCCTGGGAACCACAGATTTGCACAATGAGAAAGGCTGTGAGGTTGGCCCCAGGAGCTCTGTTTCTAAGAAGCTTCACATGTGACTCTGATGTACAACCAAATTAAGAACTCCATAGCACCCTAATCATTCCCCCTCGAAGGTCTGACTCTGGATATTCTTCTAGAATCTTCTTGAAAGGGTATTTCCAAAGACCTTTCCCCAACCATGTAGTCTGCAGTAAGGACTTTTAGCTGGGTCCTGGTCTCACCATCCCACATTCTGCCCGTTTCATGACTGAAGCATGATGAAGATGTCCTGAACCACACAGAAAACAAAAGGGTGGTTCCTCCATCATAGGCGTGACAGGAGTCTGCCTGGTTCTGGGCAAACTTTCTCTGGAGCTAATTCAAGTGTGGACGCCCTGGAATTTAACAAAGATAAGAATCCATCTGACATTTTATCGTATTTATTAAACATATTTAGTTACTTTGCAATATAAATCCTGTTATCTACTAAAAGTTATGATATAGGACTTTCCTGGTGGTCCAAGGGTTAAGAAGTCACCTTCCAGTGCAGGGGACGCTGGTCTGGTCCCTGGTCAGGAAACTAAGATCCCACATGCCTCAGGGGCCTAGAGAGGCTACTGGTGCTGCAATGAAGATCCCTCCAGCCACAACCAAGACCCGCTGCAGCCAAATAAGTAAATATTTTTCAAAATTATGATATAGCCAAAGGCTGTTCATTATGTTTACAAGTGATCTCCTTAGTAAGAATGAGTTAACATCAATTATGATCTGAGAACTCAACTTTGATTAAATTTGTAGACTTTTCCCCTCCGGGATGAATTCTCTGAAACTCAACAATGTGACATTTCATTTAAAGCCTGAGCCATATTTGGTTGTTACAAACAATAGAAACAGTACCAGGCTGGAGTCTCAGATCTGAGGTCTGGTTCCAGTCCTCTCCTGCAGTTTTCTTTTCCCTCTTCAGTCCCACATAACCTAACCTGCTTAGCAGACAGATAGGTAGGTGTTCAATAAATACTTGTTGAACAAACATTCTAGGGTACATTTATAGGAGACAACGAGGGATCTTTTGTGGTGAGGAAATGTGGATGATTTCCGTTTTCTTCCCTCTATTTTTCTGTATTTGCCAAATTTCGAACAAAGCAAATCCCAATCCAAAAGTTCCTCTAGTATGTGGGCATCGCTGCCCCTATGGCAGAAGGTGCTCAATGAAGGTCCCTCCTCCACCCTTTCTTTGGAATTCCTGATCATCCATGATGGGAAAGGAAATATTAACTCTGAAGAAAGTCAGGTCATTTCTTCTGGAAAACGAAGATTAAAGCTAGTCTCGGAGGAAGAAATGCCCACAAGGCCCCCAGCCCTAACATCAGCCCCAAACCGCCCTCCTGATGCCCCAGAAGCGGGTAGGATCTACCCGGTGCGGCTCCGGGGACGCGGGAAAGGGAAGCCCTGCCCACAGCCGCGTTGTGCCCAGCCTTCTGCGCCTGCGCGCCCCGCCCCTGGAGACTCAGGAACGCGCAAGGCCGCACTCTCGCAAGGCTCTGTGAACGCGCAAGGCAAGGCGGCCAGCGAGGGAACGTGCACCCTTTCTCCCTCTGGCGGACAACAGTGGAACAACCGGGCTTGGGGGAGAGGTTTTGGTGGATAGAGGGTGCCAGGAGTCGCAGAGGTAAGTTCTGCGGGATCCGACTTCGTTTTGCGGCACCTCCCTAACCCTTCTTCCCCAGTCTTCATTGCCAGTTCAGAACAAGGGAAAAGGGAAGGTACCAACCTTGAGCCCTTAATATGTGACAGGCCCTTTGCATCTATTATCTTCTTAAATCTTTCCACTGCATTATTAGTCCGATTTACAAAGAACGAAACTGAGACCCAGAGGGGTGACTTAGTTAGAGACACACAGATAACTAGTGACGAGTGTGGGACCCAGGTCTGTGTGTTCCAAAGTTTGACTGCAGCCCTGACCTTTGGGGGGTGGGGCCCTGGACTTGGAGACACCAGAGCCTGTTTCTCCCCTCTCACTGAGAAGTCTCTGCAAGAACACCCAGAACCATTTCCACGGTCATTTGAAAGCAGCTTAGCTCGTTAGGCAGGAGAACTTTTCAGGCTGGTCCCATGTGCCTAGGGCATCAGGCAGGACTCCAGCTACACCCTAAGAACTACAGGAGCTCAGGGCAAGACTTTCCCAGGGACCCCAACACACGGTCCTTTTCCAGGTCCAGTGACAGAGGGAACACAGGGAAGGATCTGGAGGAGTCAAGGTGGAAATCCTCCTTGACGAGGCTATCAGGGCATGACAGGTTAATGTCGGGGCCTACAACTGTGGGACTGTTTAGGATGATGAGAGAGACAGTTTCTACAACACCCATCTGGTGACCAGGCCTTTAGGAGAGATATACTATCCAGATGATGCCACCATCTCCTCTTGCCTTTCAAGAGAGACAGAAGTGGGTGGGAGGAGTGAGAATTTGTATAATGAGGCAGAGGCTGCTGGCTTGAATTTCCAAGGCAACCAAGGATAAAATTGTAGAAATGTCCAAACTGAGGGAGCTACAGATACTTTGGGGCTTTCCAGGTGGCTCAGATGGTAAAGAATCTGCCTGCAGTGCAGATCTGGGTTTGGTGCCTGGGTTGGGAAGATTCCCTGGAGATGGGAATGGTTAACCCACTCTAGTATTCTTGCCTGGAGAATTCCATGGACAGAGAAGCCTGGCAGGCTACAATCCACACGGTAGCAGTCAGACATGACTGAGCGACGCACACATACTACACATACAGAAAGCTGGCTGGCAGGTGGTCTGGATGACTTTGGCTTGTGATCCTGGAGGAGGCACACAGTAGTGGCTCTCATTTCTTCTCAGGACAGCTTTGGAAGAGGCCAGAAATGAGAGGCAGACTCGTGAGAAGGCAATATGGTTTTTTAGAAGGAAAGATTATATCTGACATCCTAAAGGCATGAAACAGTCTAGGCTTCAGTCAAGTTGACCTGAGTTGGAATCCTAACTGTGCCAAAACCCAGTCTTCTTATCTGAGAGATGGACACAAAAAGAATCCCACTTTACAGTGTTTAAAAAGCAGCTAAAAAAAAAATAAAAAGAAGCTAGCATGTGTAGCACAGATGAGATTAGTGGGCAATTCTCTGAATAAAATCTAAAATTCATCACATTTTAAAAGACTGGTCTAGAAGAGAGAAGTTGATAAAAAGTGGTATAAAACATATTTATACAAGGTAGTCTTGAGGGAAAAATAATCCAACGGTATTTTAGTGAGCTGTCTTTCCCATCTCAACTTCCACAAACTGCCTGTACCACTCAGCTTGCTCTGACCTGGAGAGAACTTTGTATTCTATCATTTTCTTGCTCACATTTAGTCTCCTTGACCAGATTATAAACCACTCAAATAAATACAGTCGACAGACCGTCCATTACATTCCAGATATTGGGTCACTGTCAACAGATCCCTAAAGACCTGGCAGTCAAGGTTGCCAAAATAAAGGTAGCCAGCATCATGGTGCGGAAACCAAGAGTAAACATATTCATGGTCTTGCCCAGAGCCGTGGTTTGGCTGTAACTGGGATAATGTCTATGGTTTTGGCTGCTTGCACCCCAAGACAGACATCAGGATGCTGTGGGCAAGCAGCTCAAATTTTCAAATGGATGGAAGTGTTTTCCTGAGTACAGGTTGAAAAC